AGACGGTTGGGGGGGGGGGATATAATTTATAGGAAATGGCTTGTTCGACTACGCCGGCGAGTAATTTAATTAAAATAAATGTCCGAGCGGTCCGAGCCACGCCGGCGAATAAAATGCAAATTCAGTCCCTTTTCTCTCTCGCCCCCGCGTGTACACACTTACACACACACCCATGGACCAACGGTCAAGCCACCGCCCACCCATGTATATGCAAGAAAACTCGGACTCGTCCGTTGTTGATTCGATATACCCACATTCGAATTTTCTCGCGCTTCTCGAGCTCTGTTGCGACCCCTTTAGGGAAATGTCGTTTCGCGCGGGAAGAAAACTCCCTCAACTTTCGGAGTTGCGCCAATGCGGTTGAAAACAAGAGAGGAGGAAAAATAAATACGAAATAAAAAAAATTTGATGAACAGGTCGTCGGAGGCGGGAGAATGTGAGCGAAGAAAGGCTCGCCCGGAGGAGGAGGCGATAGGACGTCCTGTCCCGGGTGTGTGTGTGTGTGTGTTTGTGTGTAGCGTCGAGCGAGACTTCTTTGGCGGTGGCGGTCGAAAGGGACGAGCCGGGGAAAAGAGAGGACGCACCGGCTGCAATATCAGTCGTAAATAATAAAAGTTAGCGCGCTCTCCGTGTTCCTCCCTGGCGCGCGCGACTTTAAACCGGAAGATAGGTGTCGCGCTCTGGAAAGGGAGGGGTTGGAAATCGTCGGTGGGGGGGGGGTGTAAGGGGGGCGAGACAAAGACGCGGGGGGGCCATTGTCAAGGGCTGTGTGTATATACGTACCTATATATACGCGGGCATCGGAACACACCGGCATCCGCCGCGGGAAACTTTGAATCATTTTTATTGCATAGAGTTATCTTTGTTAGCTGCTGTGCGGACCCCCCCCCTAGCCCCCCCTTTGGTGATTCTTCTCTTTTCCTGCGCTACGTCAGCCGAGGCTTTCCTCTCGGCGGAGCTCGAACGAGCCGCCAGATAATGCCGCCACTCCCAAAGTGTATATTCACACCCCTTTGGCTGCCCAAATGGAATAAGTTCTTTAATTCGCGAATTTACGTGCCCCCCACTGCTAGGCGGTCCCTTTTTATACGGCACGTCTCTCTCTCTCTCTCTCTCTCGCTCTTATCACCCGTAGTCGAGATTCATCATCGCGTTCGTAGATACGTTTCAAGCCCTTATACTTTCGTCAGGAATTATTTTTACCCCGAAAAATTATTTTCACCCTCCGCCACCTCCACCTTCTCGAAGACCAACTTGTACCTATACCTGCGATACGGCCGCTTTTTCTTCCGACTCGCCAATTTCATTCGTTTGTCACGACGACGCTCTTTTACTCCTCGGGGTTCTTCTTCGTCTGAAAGCAAAATGTCTTTTTCTCGAGCGGCTCTCTGATAAAACGCTTTTTTGTACTTTTCCAAAAAAAGGAGGAAATACCTACTTCTGCACGACAGCCGCACGATCGCAGTGAGGAACGGATTAGCTGTGGTAAAAGGAGATGTCACGCAATCAAAACTTTTCAATGTTATACTTGCGGTCTGGTAATTGTAAACTATTTTTTTAAGTAAAAAATATCATTTATTTTAATATTTAACATTGATTTGAAGAAAGCGCCAATATCGGAGTTATAGGTATACTTTTGTTTGAGTCATATTCATTTTTACGCTTCGAAAACATATGACATACCTGTAGAGGTTTAGATTATTGAAAAATTCTTTGGGTATGAAATATCGCGTGCATCGCCTCAGAAAATCACAACGCGAAAGTGATGTTCAAATTCGAAATGTATACGACGATGGCAATCAGTCCGATATACAAAAAAAGTCAAGTCAACATCTCAAGGATCCGAAGGGTAGCCCTGCACGTCGAGAAAAGCGCAAACGCGCCAAGTGTGATTCGAATCCCTATAAAAAAAAAAAAAAAAAAAAAAATCTTCGAGGGGCTGGAGAGGCTATGAATCGCAAGAGACGCCAGGATAATATGCGCGATGTTCAATAACCCGAGGAGAAGCGCTGGCGGCGTCACGGCAGCTCTCAAATCCCCTTCCGCGTTTGTAAAATAGCCGGCTTTTATGCTCCATACGTTCCCACCGAGTACAGACCTCCTCCTCCCTTTCCGTATAGAGAAGTCAACCCCGCGCGTGTATCCCAGGGGGAAGCCTGCGCCTTACGTTCTGTATCGGTGACGTTTAATGGGTTTTTTTTTTTTCTCTCTTCTTTTTATCGTTGTTGGTTACTATTGGCTTATTTTATCGCAGTTCCGAAATCATCCGGTCTTTTGTCATCTGGGAGAGCCGGAGAATCATTACAAATGAATGCGCAGGTCGCCGCGAGAGGGTCAAGGGGCGGAGGGGAATCGCTTGTTATTATCTAAATTAAAAATGCCGCGAAATCTCGCGTCCGGCCGAGTATGTAGCCCATACATATAGGTACCACGTACGCGTATACGCGAGGCGAGTAATCTGGCCGGTGTGGAGGACGAAATAGAAAATTCCTCCAGGACTCTCTCTCTCCTGGCTTTGCTCTCAGTTTTCTCTTCTTGGAAGCGATGTGCAAGCGCGCTCTGCACCTATCTCTTTTTTTTTTCTCTGCTTGCGAGGAGCTTTTCCGTTTTTCAGTTCTCCTCCCCTCTCATTTCAGCCCCTTGATGATAAGTATAAGGGAGCCGACGCAAGCGAAACAAAAAAGAGAGAAAAAAAAAACAAAATAGAGTTACAGAGCTCCCGCACGAGGTGGGCACATGTATAATAAAAGAGAGCGAGGAGGGCAAGAGGGAACAAAAAGGGGGGGGGAGGGTGATATAATAAAAGCGAGAAATCCCCTTGGTGGTAATTAAAAAATAATTTCATCCTCCGGGCTCCGACCGCGAAATCCGCTGTGCGACAATCCCAAGAAATCAAAGTGTACACGAAGGGCCGTGAGTCTGGTGGTGGACATTTATACCTTCGTGTCCTCGTTGCGGCTCTTCTTTCTGAAAACTAATTATTTAGAGGTAGGCGTATACGAATTACCCGCGTTTTTCCCACTTGATAAAATGAAACGAGCATTAGTATATGTGTTGTTGTATTAAATTTTCGTTGTCAATTAGGGAAAGTAAATTAAATATTTGAGAAACCAACTGGAACACGGAAAAATGGCACTTTACCACCAATCTATATTGATTTATTCCGATGTGTCACATTTCGATAAACCTTTCAGCAAACGTGTAAACATATAATGATCATAATAAATTGCATTTGCAAATACCCATGCGATTCAAGGAGTAACGTGTATGTATAGTACACACGGAAAGAGTTAAGAGCGAGGGAAAAGGTC